CAAGTGTGATAGTTGTCTATCAGATCAGGGTTGTGACGAGCAGAATGATCTGATCTCGCGCGTCAAAAGGATAGAGGAAGAGATGAAGAAGGTTTTTCAACTCTCGGACTCGATCACTGGCATGCGAGATCACATTGCTGCTCAGGTGGACATCGCGGTTAAAAGCGGGATGGCAGATATTAGAATAAATGTAAATGGTCTTGAAAATTTGATTTGTGAGAAATTGGATAATATGAAAAGTTCATTTTTTAAAATTGATGCGGAAAACCAATTAGCTGTAAAGAATGATCCGTGCAGTTCATCTAGGACGATTCAGTCGGAATCGGACAAAAATACCAGACGCAAAAAACGTAAATTAGTAATTAGTAATAGTGATCATGATGATGATGTTGTTTTTCAAGAAAATGCGAGTTTTGCGGATGTTGTAAAAAGACATAGTCGTATTAGTCAAAGTAAAACTAATAGTAACAGTAATAGTAAAAGTAACAAACCAGAAAATCGTAAGACTCGTCCAGTCATTGTGATTAAACCGAAAGAGTCAAAACAACCTTGCGAAGATACTCGTAAGTTTTTAAAAACTCAGTTGGATCCAAAAACACACAAAATCAGTAATTTTAGGAATGGTAAAGATGGCTCCATTATTGTTGAGTGTGCAACAGGAGCAAACGTAAGTGATGTGAAAAATGGTATTGAAAGCAATCTGGGTGAAAAATATAGTGCTGTTGTTCCCACTTCGGTGCCAAGATTGAAAATAGTGGGCATGAGCGATCAGTTTTCCTCCGATGTCTTTATTGACTACTTAAAAAGTCAAAATGAAGACATCGCTATTAATGATGTAAAAGTAGTGAACATGTTTGAAAATCCACGCTTCACTTATAACAAGTTTAGTGTTGTAATTGAAGTCGATGTCGATACTTATAAATGTTTGTTATGTGCGAAAAAAGTAAATGTAGGGTTTGATCGGTGCTCGATAGTTCCCGCGATTAATGTGTTGAGATGCTTCAAATGTGGAGAATTTGGGCACAAGAGCATGGATTGCAAAAATTGTGATAGATGCTCTAGGTGCAGCCAACAACACAAAACGTCGGAGTGTACGTCAACTGTATTGAAATGTATTAATTGTTTGAAAATGAATAAAGAACGAAAAATGAACTTGGACGTCAACCATGCCGCATTTAGCTCGGAATGTTTGCTCTATAAAAGACTTTTTGATCAGAAGAAAAGCAGCTTGCGTTTCAATAAATAGCAGCCAAGTTCCAGGAATGTGAATCAATTCGATTTTTTATATTTGAATATTGCGGGGTTGTCAACAAACTACGTAGCATTACGTCAGATTGTTGAGGAAAAACGTCCTCTTTTAGTTTTATTATCTGAAACTCATATTGTAGAAACTGAAGCTTTTGATCAGTATAGTATTCCGGGATATATTGTTGCTGCTTGTTTATCACATTCTAGACACACTGGCGGTGTTGCTATTTATGTCAAAGAATCAGTTCAATTCAACCTTCGTACCAACGAAGTTATTGATGGCAACTGGTTCTTGGGCATTACAGTTGTACGTGGCATGAAGATGGGTAATTATGGTGTTTTGTATCATTCTCCCAGTTCTAGTGACCAGCGTTTTGTTGAAGTTTTAGAGAACTGGCTCGAGACATTCCTTGATTCTAGTAAATTAAATATATTGGCTGGTGATTTTAATATTAATTGGCGTGATAACCATAATTCGAATCATTTGAAGCGTTCAGCTGAGTTTTTTACTTTAAAGCAAACGGTAAATGAATATACGCGTATTTCCAGGCACAGTAGAACTTTAATTGACCACGTTTATTCCAATTTTGATTCCATTTGTTCAGTTACGGATACTGATTTGAAAATAACCGATCATGAGACTTTAGTGATTAATGTCTTAGACCATGTTAACGATAACGATAATTTTGTAAAATTGAAGTGCTGGAGGAAATATTCGAAGCAAGCTGTTTCAAATCTTGTTGAGAGAAGCCTGGATTTTCCATTCGCGGCCGGTAACTTAGATGAATCTACAGCTGTTCTTAATAACGCTTTGAAAACGTGTACCAATCAACTAGTTGAGCAAAAGTTTGTTTCTTTGAAAAACTCGAACAGCTGGTACAATTTGGATCTTTTGCGTCTTAAACGGAAAAGGGACAAATGGTACAAAAAGTTTTGTAGATCTAATAATGACAATCATTGGACTAGGTACACAATCGCGCGTAATAAGTATTCACAATCGATAAAGAAAACTCGTTGTGAATATGTTCAAAGGAAGATTGATCAGCATCAAAACAACAGCAAAGAGTTATGGAAAATTTTGAAATCTTTATTAAAACCTAGTAATTGCAAACCGCGGTCCATAACTTTTAATGGCACATTAGAACAGTCAGAACAAGTAATTGCATCTAAGTTTAATGATTATTTCGTAGACAGTGTTTCATTGATTAATCAATCTATTGAATTGGTCGATGAACCTGGCGAAATAAAACAGCCAGTTAATAGAAGTTGCAGATTTGAAGTTTTTCACCCAATTACATTAGATGAACTTAGAGTTATTTGTTTTTCATTAGGAAAATCGGCTGGAGTAGATAATGTTAATGCTAGAGTTATTCAAGATTGCTTTCATGTCATTGGCCACATCTTGCTGGACCTTATTAATGAATCATTGCAGAATGGACATGTGCCACAAATTTGGAAGGAATCCTTAGTGATTCCTATTCAAAAAGTTGCTGAAACGATTAAAGCCGAAGAGTTTCGTCCCATCAACATGTTGCACACATTAGAGAAAATCTTAGAACTTGTTGTTAAAGGCCAGCTGTTGGAGTATTTGAATAGCAACTCTTTGTTGATACCAGAACAATCGGGATATCGAGAAGGTCATTCTTGTGAAACTGCATTGAATTTGGTGTTAGCAAAGTGGAAAGACAACTTGGAGCGTAAAGATACGATTGTTGCTGTTTTTTTGGATTTGAAACGCGCTTTTGAAACAATTTCTAGGCCCTTACTGTTAAGTACAATCAAGCGCTTTGGAATTACGAGTACTGCATATAAATGGTTTGAAAGCTATTTGTCTGACAGAACTCAACGGACTGTTTTTAATGATTCTGTTTCCAGTCCCGTGGGGAACAACCTTGGAGTGCCCCAGGGAAGTGTATTAGGGCCCCTTTTATTTATTATGTATATTAATGACTTGCGACGTGTTTTACGGTTTTGCGACATTAACCTTTTTGCAGATGATACTGTGTTATTCATTGCAGCTAAGGATTTAGAAGTTGCCGTCTCACACTTGAATGAAGATTTGCAGTATCTAAGTAGATGGTTGAAGTGTAAGCAGTTAAAATTGAATACAAGTAAAACTAAATTTATGGTAATTTCGCGGAATCGATTAAATGAGAACGTCTCTGTTGTAATTGATGATGAGACTATTGATCGCGTTCAGGAGATTAAATATCTTGGCGTGATTATTGATGACAAACTTAAGTTCAACTCTCACATTGACAATGTCATCAAGAAAATTGCCAAGAAGTATGGAATTCTATGTCGATTGAAAAACGATTTAACTATTGCCAGTAAAATACAGCTATACAAATCAATCATCTCTCCTCATCTAGACTTTTGCCCATCCATTTTATTTCTGTCGAATGCAACACAAATATCGAGATTACAGCGCTTGCAGAATAAAATAATGCGTTTGATTTTGAGATGTAATAGATTCACTTCCTCAACTTTGATGTTAGACGCCTTACAATGGTTGTCGGTGAAGCAAAGAATTGTATATTTGACTATGGTGTTCATTTTTAAAGTAGTTAACGGTTTGCTGCCTCGATATTTGTGTGATCGAATTGAAAGAGGAAGTGACTATCATAGATATAATACTAGAAACGCGGATGAAATAAGAACACCACATTTCTTGACTTGTGCTTCACAGAATTCATTATTTTTTAAAGGAATAAATGTTTTCAATTCGATGCCTAGACACATTAAACGTTCAACAACATTAGCAGAATTTAAGAGACATTGCATTTCACACGTTAAAACTGTCTTTTGAACGGTTATCCAGTGATTTTTTTTTTATGAATTGACAAATTATGTATCTTGACGAAGTTATTTTTAACGGATTACTTTGTATGGATAGCTGTTATAACGACTTTTTAATAATTATTGTAGCACTGCAAAAACTATTTTGTTCGCCACGATGGTGATGATGGATTTTTGATATATGATTTAATAGTAGTAGTAAAAAAAAAATAGTAGTCTACAAAGGTTTGAGCCTCGCGCGCGTATTACGGATATAGAGGACTGAATTTAACATTTGATAAAAAAAAAATGCAATTTTGAAGCTTATTTGGAAGATACCTTGAGTTAGTAGTAAGTTTTCTGGCAAATGTTGGGGGTTTGTGAGCATTCCTGACATTGCTGAAAATTATGATAGCATCAAATTGCGGGGTTACTAGTGTAATAGGATGCTTTGTTGATTGTTCATTAACTCTTGATTGCTTGTAATACTTATGAATATTTTAGGTGGACAAAAAGGCGAACTAAGAGGTGGACGCCTGAGCTTTTCAACATTTATATCGCTGTGAAGCAACTGTAAACTCTAGAGGGAATTTATATCTGTAACTGAAACCAGTTCGATTTTGTTTGCCAACCTGGTTAAAATGTCATATTTAATTATCTTAAAGATAAATCGTCCAGCTCAAACCTTTGTAGGGGTAAGAGGTGGGACCATCATCATCAAAAGTGCTCAAAGAGCACAAAGTTTAGTCAAAGTTTAAATATCAGTTCAGACGTAATTGCATTTCCTCAACCAACTTAGCTGGTTTTTATTTTCGTGTTTAGTTTAGTTTTCATTGCGTCTGGCGAAGAATCACCGTACAATCTGTTGTGTTATCTCACTAAGACAAACATTTAAACATGCTTATCATTCAAAAACAAATACTGACACCAACATAACCTGGAGGTCAACCTGTAATAAAATAACTTTTCTGATCTTGGCCGTAACTCGCAGATTTTTCTAGTTACTTATTTACTCTCGCTCTGTTTTATCCTTCATTAACACAGTCAGCTCGGCTTGCTCACCACCATTTCTGATGAACGGATTTGCACCTTCCATTTCCGTTTCATCTTGCCGCTCACTGCCTTCACTGGATTTGTGTTCCTTTTCATCAAATATCCGGAAGTTTTTCGAATACCACCAAGTCCCAACATCGAAACAGGTTCCCACCAGAACCAGCACTGCGGCGGTGTAGTTCATGGATGTCCTTAGAGATTGTCCATCATAGAGCCAGCAGTTGCCTTGCTTCGAACACGTCCGTCCCCACAGGACACATGTCCGATCGATGATCATTCCGAATATTATCGGTGCCGGTAGGAAAGAGAATAATGTGTTGACGGCCATCGAAAGTCCCATCGAAATGGCTTTGTCCCGTTCTTCGACGCAGCGCAGACCGACCAGGAAATTGGCAGCCGACTCGGTACCGCCGATGAATTTATTGAGGGACACCATCACGAGAAACAGGTAGAACGGAGTCATGCAGTCTACCGGACAGCTTCCGGAAATAGCTGTACCGGGGAGTTGAGCATACCTGTCGCTTGGATCTTCACTTGTTAAGTTGTCAAATGACATAGATGACGCGAGCGCGTATGAACTATTAAGCGGTGCTTCTATACAGGAACAGTTTGTGAAAAGCTGCAAAGTACCATCAATTAGAATAGATTAACAGGTAACTTTCGAAATAATACTTACGATCGTTCCATTGGATTGTCTGAGTCGTTCTTTGCATCCGGCATGGCAAGGTGATAGATAGGTATTACCATCGCTTCCACAAATCGGAGCGTATTTGATAAAATCACAATTACATCCTTGACTGCATTCGACACCTTGAGAACTGTAGATTGAAAAAAGAAAAACATTACTTCTCGATCACAACCAAGCGTTGAGGCACTCACTTGCTAACGATTGAAGTGTTATTGATTGCATTGCATCCAAACATTGCGTACATTACAATTAGTCCAGCCGAGCAAATGCTAGTGAGAATGTTCCAACCCGTCAATTGTCTGGACGTCGGTTTAATCTTCTGAATAACTGCCCCAGCGACCAGGATACCCAAAGCCGAAAAGACCAGAGACGTAGTTCCGGTGACCATACTACAATGAACAATACAGGTTACTCAGCTCATCGCATCCAACCCTTCACAGATTTCAACTCACTTGGCTTGCGACGGTGTTAAACGGTACTGAATCTCGATGTACTTGGCTTGAAACAAAAAGTACGGCATGTAACCAAAAAAGTAGAAAATGCTTGCCGTATTGTTAAAGACGTAAGCTTTATTGGTGATTAAACGCTTCACCGTCACCAAAAGATCAGCTAAAGAAGTTTCCCTTTCCGGTTCTTCCATGGTTGCTCCACTGATTCGACTGGCTTGTCGCGATAGGGACTTGCGTTCGGCCGCTCGTGGAAGTATTTTCGGGAATCCAGCTACAACGGAATCCTGTTTCATTTATTCATCATTTTAACATTGATCTTAAAGTCTTACCAAAAATAGGGGCTACCAAGAAGAGCGACATGCCCAGAGCGATCCATCCCGTCCACCACGCACCAATCCATCGTGGATCTGAACTACCATATCCTGGGTCAACTCCAGGCAAAACAAAATACCTCAAACACAAGGACGCCATGGAATAGCCCAGCATCGGTCCTAGTCTTCTTCCGAAAGCTGACAGACTGGACAGAAAAGGAACCTTTTCCTTCCGAACGTTGTCATCCAGGTAGGTCAATCCTAGTGTAAAATACAAAGAAGTCCCTATTCCGGAAAGAAAACTTCCAAGGAAAAGTAAAAGCTGCGGTCTTAGATTCCCCAGATCCGCCGAACAATCGGGTGCTGCACGATCTGCTTTGCACAAGTTATCGGACATCTTCGAAGCTCCCACTGTGTAGTTTCCTGCGTTTTGGATAAGATCTTCCACGTTAGGTCCGAACAAGAAATGCGGCAATGCATTGACGAAGCAGGACAGCCCCATGCTTGTAATTCCCAACGCAATCCACAGCGGTTTCCTCTTATTTGAAGCATAGTATGACAGAAACAGAGATGACAGCACGAACGACAAATCCGATCCAGCCGTGATAATTCCGGCATTTTTCGACGAAATTTGAATACTTTTCTCAACCGTAGTCAACGTTCCATAGAAGTACGCCGTCGTCGATCCAAACAAGCATCCAACAACCCCGAACAGAAACACGTACAACTTTTTGCTAGCCAACCGTTGCCAGAACCTTCCACGACATATCCAAAATCCACACTGCACGTCTCGCTCGCTGTATTCGGAGATGGAACGTTCCAAAGGGATCTTCTTCGGACTCTCGTCACTCTGGTCTATCCCAGCGTCCAGTATTCCACTGCCAAACATTTTCCCTAAAGATCTTTCGAATCACTTCCCTGGACAAACTTCCAGAGTTTACCTCCACCTCGAATACCATCAGAAGTCGAACTGATCTTCATCTCATCAGCTCGGACAGGTGAAGATCATTGCCACTTCGTTTATCTAGTAGATGTTATCCCTACCAGAGGCTGTGCTATCGCAGTCGCATAAATCTTGATAGTGACTTGTGCAATCTAATGGTTGCGAGCAGAACTGCTGTGTCAGTACGTCACCCGCAGCGAACGGAACGGATGAGATAGAAGAATTACTCTTTGATAACACTTCGGGTCATAATGTTTACCGGCAAGAACGAGCGCGACAAGAAAGCTAGATCGTGAAATTTTGCGAAATAAATCAGAAAGCTGAATTCACGTGTTACCTGCGATAGCAGAAGATAACTGGTTGGTAAATAAAACATTAATCGATAGGATGTTACTTTTTCTTGATGTTAAGTCCCAGCTGTAACTTTATACCCGCCCTCAACTTTCGATGAACTGTACTATAGTTGAAGAATAATTATTATACAATTTTTGTATTCAATGGTACTCACCGAAAACCACGTTTAAACCATATATCGGTGTTTTTCGAATGAGCCATTCCAGGCTAAATAGCAAAAAAAAATTAACAAATTATAAAATTCACCCCTCAGAATTTCATGAAACTTCGCATAACTTTTCGCTACTACTACTAGAATGCCTTAAATCCAATTGAATTTCCAGTGAACCCATCGTAAAATAGATAGTTTAATGCTATTATTCTTCCTTTCAAAGTACAGAATTTCCGCTCCGTAGAGCCACACTTTTTTTTTTTAGCATAGCAATAAAACAAAACTTAAACTAGTTAACCTAATAAGCGCATTCGGAGACAATAATCACCATTTTTGCGTGTATTTTTGTTTTATTAACGAAACATTGGATTAAGGAAAACAAGGATAAAATATTTGAGTTATGCTATGTGAAAGGAGTTTGTTTTGGTTTTTGTACCTCTCAATTGTGTTAAAATTCTTTGATCAATCACTTGAAGAAGCTTCTGCATCAAGTAATCAATGTCCCAGAAACCTAGTTCGCCCCTTATTGGCTTTCCAGCAGGCTTTCTGGATCTAGTAAACGAACTGATCGATTTGGTCCTCTCAGTTTTGTGTCGTTCGCATGTCCATTAGACTTATGCAAAATTTGAAATTTGCGCTCCAAAGTGCTTAAACGGTTTCAAATTGGGTCCTGCTTAGCCTCCCAAAATTTGAACTACTTTAGTAAGAAACTGACCATTTCAAGTTTATATGGGAATCACTATGTTAAAACTTTTGTTTTTGTTCATATCTATCTAACAATTCACCACATCACTATGCTTTTAAAAATGATAGCAGTGATTGTAGCAAATTTTCTCAGCTACAACTTTGTTCCAAACCACTTTTCTATCAAATGTAAGGAACAAAAGTTATTAATGATTCAAGTAACTGATGTCTTATGATTATGCTCATTCAACTGTTTAGCAGGCAACATTGGTCTTTCTGTAGCGTAGAATAGAGCACAAAAATCATGGCTACTATGTCACGCTGCAGAATACAGTGTTGCCCACAGCTGCTTGATCATGCCATAACATTATCAATCTCTTAAACAATTAATAACAATTTTATCTGACATTTGGCTGAAAAACGATTTTCGGCTAAGTTGTAGCTTAGAAAACTTCCCGTAAGAGTACTCAACAAACAATTTGAACTGATTAAAAGCTGAATAAAATAAAAAATTGTTGAAGAAGCTAAATTTTGCATGAACAAGCTCTTATTCAGCTTTCAATGTTTGTTGGGTAGTTATTGAAATTTCCGAAAAAGAAATATGGAAAATGGGCAGAAGACAATGAACAAAAAGTTTGGTTTTCCTATAGTAACTTCGAATAGTTTGTGCGAAGTCAGTTTCTCACCAAATGAGTTTAAATTTTGGGAACCTAATCAGGACCTGATTTGAAACCGTTTGAGCACTGTGGAGTCAAAATTTCAAATTTTGCATCAGTCTAATGTCCATACTATATGATCTATGTTCTCATAGTCCTTATCGCATAAACATTTACAATTGTAAAGATTGTCAATTTCTAGATGCTCGAAAATCATCAAACCAATGTTTCCGCGAATCTGAAGGGCGGATTGAAAACCACACAAATCTCTACAAATCTGACTGCCATGATTTACATACATAACATACTCTGTAATTTTGGGCTAACATTCCGTTGCTTGAATTTCTCTTCGATACAACGAGCCATTTAATAACACTTTTTTTTGCAAATGAATCATTGCCCAAGATTGAACTATGTGCAGGGATCCCCAAGAAATCAATTGTGTATCCCAATTGCTTTAATTGGTATACTATTTGTTTGATTTTCAGAAGAATGTGGAAAGCTTTCCCATCAATGCGATTAGTATTGAGTGAGCTTAACGCACTCTTACTATCTGAGCATATGACAAATCTAGAAGGGGTGAATCGTTAAATCGTTCACAACAATGATATACAGCTAGCTCGTCGGATGCAAAAACCAGCGGTCACAAGCGTTCGTACAAAAAGTCTTTCTTTTCGAGACTCGCAATGTAACAAAAACTGAACAAGGTTCACTCAATCAGAAGAGTTTCGAATTTTTGAACCATCAGAATAGAATACCTGAGTATTTTGACGTAGGACTACGTCTGTCATTTCTATATCGGGGTACACTTTGTGAAAACCACAATTAGAACATGTAACCCAATTATGAAAATTTTTGAACGTTAATAACTCAGCTTTCCCTTGACTAATTTTAATAATTTTATCACCAATCGATCAGAAATATGTCTTCGCATATGTTAAATTAAAAAAATTATCATTTTAAGACACTTTTGAAATTTGCATGAATGTGTAACTGTTTCTATGATAGTTAAAATTATCACCGATTGCCTTCGAAAAGCGATTTCTCTAACACAGATTTCAAAGATGAATTCCATCCGGCTTACCAAACGGTGTTAATTCAATCACCGCGTGGTGAATGGTGGTGTTCTTCAATACACAACGAAAATCTGCCTGCAAGCAGCGATCTGCAGCCCACATAAGCATCCATAGAAGGAGTAAGAAGCCGCACCGCTATTGATCGGAATCAGTAGCTATTCGTGAGTAACTGTGGGCCATCTATGTCATATTAAAGAGTATAAACAGAGAGAATCCCACTCAAATTCCTATTCCTACACAAAACCATCCTGCTCCTGCTACAGTTAACAAATAAAATTTATTATATAAGACCACGTTAACCTACGTCACCATTGCGTACAACCCCATGGGGTTGTCCTTTGTAGTTTTTTTACATATAACTACGTCTTTGAGGACTATGCTGGGGTGCAAATAAAAAAAAAGATTGATTAAATAGTGTTAGGTTTTGAACGCTTGTAATTTTGTCATTTATAAATTAAATCAAAATCCAAATATACCAATCGATAGGAAATAACTCTACCCGGGCTCTACATTTTCGAAGCTCTAAAATGAACTCGTGTTTTGTTTCTCTCATCCATACGTGTTCGACGCTTCATTTTTATAACGCCTAGCTAGACTATCAGCAAGAAACGAAAATAAAAAAAAGTTGGAAGGGTTGTATACTAGATACGTTGGCGTTGGATAACGTCTGTTATGTGTTGTATTTAATTGTGTATATTATATTTTAGGAATATTCCTTAATAACTCTTTTGCGAAAGTTTGGTGGCCCTGAAAAGGGCCGTTTTGTTGGGCTGATGTTGTTGGGTTTGCTCTACTCTGTCGCCCTGGAGGAGCTTTGGAATTATGTTGGTAGTTCGAAGACAGACAGCATCTCCCCTTCCAGCGTTCCCACACCCCAGTATAGTCCCCAAATTTAAGTGTAACTGTGATATTCTGGATAGAAATTGTCTTCAAAACTAACTCTTTGTCGAATTATTGGTGGCCCTGAAAAGGGCCGTTTTGGTTGTGGTTTTGGAATGATAGACCGAATAAATGATTATGTTTGAAAAAATTCAGTTTTTGCTCCGATCAACAACCATACGGGGCAATATGAGCACCCTAGTAAAAATTAAGGTTTTGACAGGTTTTCACTAGAAAATAACATGCAGGAATCAAGTGAAATAGAAACATAAGTTCTTTTAGCAACAGTTACGTGTATTGCTCGCTGTAGAACCAGCGGATCAGTAAAATGTAATATAGTGAATGCGATGCTTGTTTTCGTTTTCAAAACAGTTTCCTTCGTGGTGCGCAAGGAGTGATAAAAATGAATCCATTAAAAACATGGTTGAATCTTTCTGTCATGCTCTCCCTAGTTAATTGATATCCTCATCGAGTAGGTTGATTTTTCGTCTTAATTTAAGTGTAAATTCGGATTAATTTCAGTGCGACAATGAAACTCCTAGGTAAGTGTTTGATTGGAAGGTGATTTTTCAGAAAATTGAGTTTGGGAAATGGTAAAAAATGGAGATTTGTAAATGAGCCGCATCGATGCCGGTAGGCGAACGCCTTTCTCAATTATCGTTCCCGTCATCAACATGTCGGATTTTTTCTTTTGGTGTGGTGTGCGGAAAATTGATTCGATTTTTTTTTCCGCTAGGTTTCGCGATACTGCTGGGCAGTTGTTTGGTATCGTCCGTCTGAAGAAGGGCGATTCTTTGAACAGTCTAGGGCATGCATTTGCTGTGGCGGCAGAGCTGGGAACTAATGGGGCTTTTGCTTACGATCGTGTTGAGGATGCCTTTGTCCAGGCAGATGAAGTCGACGGAAAGATGCTGCAGTTCGAGGGAGGATTGAGCATTACGGCTTTGATTGTGAACGGCGCGTTCAAATTGACTGCGAGTCTGAATAAGCCAGCTCCGATTATTGCTGATCAGGCGTTCAAATTGGCAACTTACTTCCTGTCCCGTTCGTCGGTTCAAACTCCAAAGGGAGTGAGCATTCTGCTGGAAGCTTTGAATACACTTTCCACTCAGAAGGCTAACGCTCCCATTTGCGTCAAGCTGTCCGGAAATGGGCAACTCTTGCCAGAATCTCCCGTGCTGATGGTGAAAGTAAGCGATCTGCTAGGTAAGCTTTTGAGTCCGTCTTTGGCCATTGTGAGAATTTCTGTCACTTCG